AATAGTAATAGTAATAGTAATAGAAATAGTAATAGTAATAGTAATAGTAATAGTAATAGTAATAGTAATAGTAATAGTAATAGTAACAGTAGTATCGTAGTAGTAGTCGTAGTGGTAGTAGCAGTGGTAGTAGCAGTAGTAGCAGTAGAAGTCGGCCTAGTAGTAGGACGAAAGATCCGGGATGGAATGAAGCAATCTAGCTTAGATCAACAGCCAATACACAGGCATATGCGCATGCGTATTCAACTCGTTTTCATCTGATTGTATGCATGTGTGTATGTATTTACGTATATATATATATATATGTTTGAGTTTGGTTTTGGTAGTTTTTGGACAAGTCAGAGTTACATGATTGCGAAAAAGCGAACCGCTTGCTCGGGCAATAGTATAGACGTATAGACTAGTGTAAACATAAGTCTAAGTCGTGCCACCTTGTGAGATTATATTCGAAGCCTGAAATACACCATAGCTTACCCAAAGTGACCAAATATGGTGTCATTGAATATGAGAAAAGAAAAACTGAATATTCGTTTTTTACAAATCAAACTACAAATGACAAAAAACAAAGTAACTAGCTCGATTCTGAGTGCCACGAACTGACAGGCCCTGAGTATATTTGATGTCTGTGACCACCGAAAAACTTTATCGAGCAAGATTCATATATAAACGAAATACGTTGCATCTAACATATTTTGAAAGCACGCAACACAGCCTGGCTCAAAAATTCGTACCCTTAGCCCAAGTAGCAGCGCGTAATCTATCGAAAACTTTATACATCCACCAAAGTTGTTTTCGTTTGTGTTGTCAATTTCTAAAAAGGTCTTTTCGACTATATTCATGATCTAATGTAGACAGACAAAATCAACGAATGAAATTCTTGCGGCTTGACTACACCTGTTTGCAGTTTCCTCTCACGCATATTGCAAGAGAATGTTGTCTTTTGTGTCGTTTCCGAAACATGAGCACTATCTCTGCCGCTGCACTGATTTCATTTGTCTTCTCGCTGTGTGGAAGTCACGACCTTGCTATGTCGAATATCAAGTTTCGGTCTGAGTTTTCAAGTGCGAGCATTTAATAAACAAAACCACACATCTGTATGTAGACATCTATGCATATATATATATAGATATGGACATACAAACTCGGTTACAGTATTCGTTGTATACAAAATCATAACATGCCAACCATTTGATCCAAATATTACCCAAGCAATCACACTTGAATATCCTTCGGTAAAACCAAATCATTGTTGTCTTGCACACCCGTCTCGCAAGTAGACTGTGTTCCATGATATAAACATACTCTACCGCCAGTCGTTTCACTCTGCGCAAGAGGCACAGGGCTAACATGGAAGATATGGAAACGTTGGTTTGAAGCCGAAACACAACGGTCAGGTTCAGGCTTTGTAACATATATGCATACACATATATGTGTGTATGTATGTATGTATGTATGTATGTATGTATGTATGTATGTATGTATTTATGTATGTATGTATGTAAGTATGTATGTATGTATGTATGTAAGTATGTATGTATGTATGTAATTGTATGTATCTATGTATGTGTATATATATATATATGTATACATGTATATGTATGCATACATGTATTTACCGACACATGCGTCCATTCATACATGTTCATGTAGAATCTACTGCTTTACATGGATATACATAGGCATGTACATGTACATATACATACACATACTGTCACATACACATGCACATACACACACACACACACAATCATACATGCAGAGTACATGCGCACATGCATGAAGTTTCTACTAGGGTGCATCACGCAGAGGGCCGACATAGTAGACACACCAAAACGGAGTTTGTGGGTGAGGCTACGCGCTGAGGGCCTAAATGCTGAACCTTGAGACTCAATCAGGACCGCTCCCTTTTAGAATTATGACGTTCCGTTTTAACTATGGGTTTCTTGATCAGGGAGTCTTGCAGCCGCTAGGAACAAAGGCGGCTCTTGGAAATGTTAGTTGTCAATCTTCAGAAAGGAATTTAACTACAGGTAAATTCTTGGATAAGTTCAACTATCCTTAATCGTTTAACCTTCACGACAACTCTACAGTTCTTTCAAGAGTCTTTCAATGTCCTTTACTTTCCTGAATTTCATCCCCTAATGGTATGAATCTTCATGAAACCGTAGAATAACCCCTCGACCAGGGACTCCTCCGAGCCTCAGCATTTCCTCTTCTACGTTCCGCTGGCGGAGAACAAGAAGTAGCTGCTCTTGCAATCTCTTGCACAGGGGTAAGCCCGAAATAGACGTTTTGGGGGTTTTTAGCAGGCAGCCAGTCTGAGAGTTCTGGGTCTAGCTTCGGGCACAAGGCGTTCAGGGTGTCAGGGAGTGTTCAGGGCTTGCGGTCTGGAGTGTATTGCTGCCGCATGTTGCCTTTTTCGTATGGAAAACCCGCCAGACCAGTTTGGGCGACTTTGTATAGCATCATAAGCACGGAGAGTTGTGGTGGTCGCCATGATGCTCATCAAATCGTGTGCATAGTGATCATGACGTAGACGTCGTTGCAACCTACGGCAATCAACGTGGCAGCCCTTGCAGTTCGACAGGCATTCGATTGAGAGCTACAAAAGCAGCCTGGGCAGAATGTGCAGCTTCATATCCTCCACAAAAAGGCAGAATGTCGGCCTGGTGGGCGACGTCGATGCTATCGGCTCGATGGTTTCATCTTGCGGGAAGTTCACACACGGGCATGGTGATTTAGTTCTTGACAGTATACGCTTTGAACTCGCTTAAAGAAATTCCTGGTTTAAGCTATGTAGATTTGACTTTTCTTACCACAAAAGGCATGAAGCTGACGGACCTGAAGTATGATGATGTTGTCGCCCGCATTCCTTCCGATGGGTCGTGCCGCCTGAAATGGCATCCGAAGGGGCCGGTGCTTCAGCGCGATGTGGTGAAGATCTGGTTGAACAAGCTGCCCGTACTCTGCAAGTACGCAGCGGAGAGACCCGATGCCGTCACGACACTCATTGATGCCAACGCGGGCAGCAGTATGTTGCCCTGGGCCAACACAGCCGCTCTTCAGCTACAACCTGGCAAGCTTGGCGTGCCCCGAATGCCTGCAGCTTGGGGTTAGGGTTTATAGGGTTTTAGGCTTTATACATCCCATGGATGGTTTCAGGAGCCGTTAAGTCAAATTGAGGGCTGGAAACAATTGGAAACATCTTCCCTTTGCTATTTGAGGGATTCTTGGAAGCACGATGCAATACCCAGAATCGCGACAATTCCTGGCTGCAGGATGCATGAGTCAGGCTTTGACTGGTTTTCATTTTTTGGCTCAGTAGCATCAATACTGGATTGCTTTTGGCGTCTGTGCCAACCTTACGCTTCTCTGAGCTTCTAGATTTGGTCTAACACGAGCTGGAGGCTCATCCAACTCAGTATTAGTCAATGTCTAGTTTGGGCTTCAGGGCTCAACTCCATAAAGAACATCTTATCTGGAAATTTCCGTGTGGACGGTCATCCAGCATATACACCGCAGATCTCCGAAACCTTGTAATCTTTAAAACCCTGAGCTGCAATGCAAACTACTTCTGACGCAAGCGATCTCAGGGTCGACTACACTTAGAACCTCAGACCGCAACGCCTGAAAGCCTAAACTTGGAAGCTTAAAGTTCATCAAGCTCGAAGCCGCATGAGTTCTAAACCCTAGAAACTCCTCAAACTTACTGCAGAAGCTGTGAAACAATTGAAAGCTCCGCTGCGTGCCACCAGGCCCAGGAAACTAAGCATTCTATCGGCCCCTGAAGGTAAAAGCCTACTTCAAAACGCCGCAACACTCCATTTGGTTTGGCAACAAGGAGATGTTGCGACACTTAAAGCAAAGGTGAGCTCCGGGTAGTGTCAGGCAAGGGTCCAATGATTCGGGCTTAAGGTTTAAACTGTGGTGTGAGGTGTACGCTTTCGGGCTTGGGATTTATGGGTTGTTTATGCCCCGCAGGATCAAGAAGAGATGGCATTTTTGACTCAACAAGCGGTGGGATACTCAGTCCACTGTTGGTCATCTAATGAGAGACGTGCGGGTAAGTTCAGCCCGCCACTGATCACCAAGCCAAGATTTCAACAATTGCTTTTCGACCTCGATGTTTTGTGACACGCATTGCTAGGAACGGGCTGCGGTCGTTTGACTTGGCATGCAAGGCTTGATCCTGCAGTGCTGCTAGCTACGATCACGCAAGAGTCAACCCGGAAACACCCTCAAGCCCCAAACTTCACAAACTCCCTTCGGCCAGCTTGTCGATCTTGGCCGATCAGCAGTCCAACTTCCTTGACCATCCGGGTTCCCTGAGTAGGTTCTGGAAGGGGACGCTTTCTTGAGCTCAACTGAAATACCCCAGTGAAGTTGCGGTAGTTCTTGTTGGTTGGCCCCACGCAAAGCCTCATGCAGAACTCCACCACGTATCGGGTCGTTTGGGGTCAAATCGTTCAAGCTAATTCCAAGAGATGTCCCATGACTGCATTGGGCTTTCGGGCGTAACTAAGGATTAGCCGCACCGAAGTTTCTACAAGAGGCCCACCAAGCCTGCCACATCCTGCCTATTTAGAGTTAGAGCAGGAGTGCAATCAAAGCCTGATGGTTTATGCGAAGCATCTCTGCTGTATTTGGTGGAATCCTTTTGAGGTGGTAACTCAAAAACAACCATGGAGCGATGCGCTCAAGAGCTTTCTTGCTCAATGCCTGGTTGGCCGGGTATGGGTTCGTTTTGTTGGAACATAAGCTGAACTCTAAACTCAAACCGGACTCAAACCCTAACAGATCAATCCATAGACTGGTCAGTTGTGGTAGGGTCCAGCTTTTGGTTGTGGTATCGGGGTTCCGGCTGTAGTAGGGACTATTCCCCTCCTCCGCCCAAAAAACAAGCAACACGACTGACTAATGTTTCTTTTTCGGGGTCTGACTCCTCTACGTACGCCCGGGGCTGGCGGGCGAAGCCTCAGTACGAGTCACAGCAGCGGTAGTGGTAGTGGTGGTAGTGGTCGTGGTAG